AAACCCACGCTGACACAGGGAGAACATGTCGGAGCACCTGGAGGAAACCCATGCTGACACAGGGAGAACATGTCAGAGCACCTGGAGGAAACCCATGCTGACACGGGGAGAACATGTCGGAGCACCTGGAGGAAACCCACGCTGACACTCGGAGAACATGTCAGAGCACCTGGAGGAAACCCACGCTGACACAGGGAGAACATGCAAACTCTGCCCCTAAATTCCACCTGGCTTGGTAGACAGCTTCCTTCCCCCCTGACTAACAGATCTTAACCTACACAGCCACATTTTTTGTATGTTCAGGTTTGAGCTTCACCTAGGACTGTCACATAAGTTTTTATGGTTGCCAAGAAATATTGTTGTTTACATCTTGTTGTTAGTTCATATATTTAATAAACATTATTGTTATTACTTTGAAACCTTGTCTTTGCTGTCCCCTTCCTGTCAGATTGGTAAAGAGGACCAGCTGAAATGGTCCCAGTCCTCACCCTCTGGTCATATTATCATCGAAAGTTAAAAATCTACAGCTGGCTGCATTCAAGTTGCTCTCTCTCTCCTCTCATCTGTCTCTTGTGTCCATTCAATACAGTCCATCCATTCCAGTAGTGCAATGCATGATGGGATATGTTGCGTGGTGAATGACCATCACTTGTACACTACCTTTCTCAGTGCATTGTGGGATACTTTGAGTCCACTATATAGGGTATGATAATTCTCACTACACATTCAGACAGCACTACAACATGGCAAAGCCACTATATATTGAGTAGTGAGTAATTTTAAGTACAGTCGGCGTGTGTTGACATCAAGACAACATCGACATGGAATATACAGTCATGTGATCATCCGGTAAGTCACCCACCTGGGAGAAGTTAACGGCAGCGTGTAGAGCTGAACAGGAGAAAATTATCATGGTGACAAACTTGGACACTTCTGCTTTGGTGTTAAAAGATGGAGGGAAACCTGGAGGACGAGAGGAGACACAGTCCACAACACCAGTCATCTTCTGTTTGTCCCTACAACTTCAGAAAATAATAGACATAGCCACCATGACATCACCAAATGGTTTGTGAACTACTGTGCTGAAGCCTTGAGTTCGGCATGTTGACCGTTGCATCTGGTAAAAAAAAATGGTTTTGGTCTCTGTAGCTAATTCAAACATTCATGATGACTGTACGGGGGTGAATTAATTGATTATTATGGGCGGGCGGCTTTGAGTGACAGGTGGGCACTGTCCATTGACAAGTTGCTACTACAGCGACAACATTGGTTAGTTAACGTAACCCCAGATTCACTGAGTATACGTGTAGCCGTAGCTGGCACTATTTCTGCCTGATTTCAGTTCATTAAAGTTAATTGTAACATTTAAATTGTCTAAAAAGTCTTGTTTAGTGTTTAGTTGGATTTAAAGAAAGGAGTCAGATGTTCAGTTTCCCCAGTGAATACATTTTGTTTTAATGGTTTTAAGCCTATTTTTAGCTAGCAAAAAATTAGCATCAACATAACCACATTTAACCATAGTTGCAAATGCACCATGCTAACCCAGCTAGCAGCTAGCATTACTGTTAGCTCCAAAAATGGTCACTTCTGACTCCAATAATCCAAGATGGTAAGGGCCAAATACCACAAACCAATAGGTGACATCACAGAGGCCACATTTATTATTGACACAGTCTACTATATGCTTGCAACCAGTGGAGTCACTCCCTGGTGGCCATTAGAAAGAATGCAGGATGCAACTTCAGCAATGGTTTCATCCACCCCTTTTAAACAGTCTATGGTTTGTTCTCTATGACATCATCAAGTGACAGATTAAGGCTCAAACACCTGAGTGCTGGCTGAAGCCATGTGTGTTGATGTCAGTGATCCAGTGTTGAAGCTCAGAGTCCTGCTGCACCTCATCGTCTGCACTGTAATACAGATCGACCCAGCTGACCACAAACCTGCAACACACACATAAACACACATTATCTCCTGCAGTGTTCAGTGTTGATTTTTGTTTGTGACAAATTTTAATAAACTTGAAATTTCTTTAAATATCACCTTAACAAGACTAAAGGCCCAAACATACTCGGGCGGAACATACATGGAGCGGACTCCGCGGAGATCCGCCCGGACTAAAAGCGGAAGTCCGCAAGCCCTGTGCGCGCAAAGCTCAGATTTTGTCCATTGTTGAGTCCAAGTGGATGTTTATGCCAAATCTGAAGAACTTCCCTCAAGGTGTTTTGAAGAGCTCACATTTACCAGAATGAGACAGATGCAAGGTTACAGTGACCGTGACCTTTGACCACCAAATTCTAATCAGTTCACTGTTGAGTCCACGTGGACGTTTGTGCCAAATTTAAGGAAACTCTCTCAAAGACTTCTTGAAATATTGCCTTAACAACTCTGAGACAGAAACATAGTCACAATGACCTTGACCTCTGACCACAAAAAAATCTAATCACTTCACTGTTGAATCCAAGCGGACATTCGTGCCAAATTTGAGGAAACTCTCCCAAGGCCTTCTTAAGATATCACGTTCGCGAGAATAAGATGGACGCGAGGTCACAGTGACCTTGACTTTTGACCACCAAATTGAAATCAATTCTTTGTTGAGTCCAAGTGGATGCTTGTGCCAAATTTGAGGAAACTCTCTTAAGGCCTTCTTAAGATACCACGTTCACGAGAATGAGGCAGATGCAAGATCACAGTGACCTTGACCTTTGACCACTTAAATCTAATCAGTTCTTTGTTGAGTCCAAGTGGACATTTGTGCCAAACTTGAGAAAACTCTCCTAAGGTCTTCTCGAGATATCGCGTTCATGAGAATGAGACAGACACAAGGTCACAGTGACCTTGAATTGTGTCCACCAAATTCTAATCAGTTCTTGGTTGAGTCCAAGTGGACGTTTGTGCCAAATTTGAGTAAATTCCTTCGAGGTGTTCTTGAGATGTTCATGAGAATGGGATGGACGGACGGACAGACGGACGGACGGACGGACGGACGAACAGACGGTGAAGCGAAGGTATAAAACTTGTTTACAGGAGAAATGTCTCTTTGGTGGGACAAACAACTCAGAGCCATCTGAGACGTGATGAGGAGACGTTCCAGTTTCTACCTCTTCATGTAATTACCTGCTGGAGGTCTGTTTGTTTACCTGTGCAGTGCATCCCAGACTCTAAGTGCGTCCTGGGCGTAGTAGCTGTGTGGGAGTTTGTCCACACCGCGGTCCATCAGGTCCTCAGGGACACACAGAGACCGATAATGAATCCTCTTTGACGCCCGGGAGAGGAGGACAGGTAACGCCTCCAGACCAGAACCAGCCGCCTGGAGGGACAAGACCAGCACAGGAACAGATAAGTGCACCACACTGCTCTCTACACAGTCTCTGATACCTGTGTCACAGCTGAGGATGAACCTTATCAAACACCCCATCAGCTGCCAGCAGCGTCGCTCGGGCCTGAAAGTTGATCTGTAGTGACGTCCTGACGTGTGGCATCAGCAGCTGTCCACAAAAACAACAATCAGAGAACACACATTCAAAAACATGACAGAATTTCTGGGTGGATCAAATCTAACGCTGCAGTCGGTCACTGTGACATCATTTTCTAATGTTCAGCGGTACAGGACGAAGGTGAGTTGGTACACCTGGTGCAGTGGGTGCAGCCCCGGCAACTGGCGCAGTGTGGCCACGCAGCACAGCTCTCCCAGCATGTGAGTCCTCAGGTAGTGGGAGACCAACTGGTGACACTGGAAGTCTGCGCTGTGAACCCAAATCTTAGCCAGCAGCCAATCACAGCCAGGGTCAGAGGGCAGGAAGACCGGGTTGTGAGGGCCGGGTGTCTGCTGCAACTGAAGAAGGAGAGACAATAAATGACTGACTGACAGCGGTGGAACGTTACCTCAGTTCCTCCTGGATTTCACAGGATTTTATTGGGGATTCTTGCAACTAAAAATATCTCATTTCACAGCAGCTTTTCCAAAAAACAATATCATGATGCATGTTGTGATACTTTGAGGCTTTTTCCTAGGATGAAATTAGAGGAGCAAGTCAAAATTGCAGTGGTAGCAATTTCTTAAAATAATTCAATAAAATTAATGCAGTTTGTTCCAGTGAGAACAAAACCACTGAGTAAATCTTCAACTCACCCTGATTCTTTCAGCACGTCTATTAGATGTTCAAACAACAGCCTGGCATGTTTGTCTTGTCTGTTTTCAACATGTTTCAGAATCTCTCCGGCTGTGTTTTGAGGTTGAGAAGTATTTGTGTTCCACCGCAAAGTTGCACACGGCGCAAAACAGTTAACTCCCTGCTGTGCAGAACATCAGGGAGTTGCTTTACCCAACCTTCAGCAGTAATTTGTTTGGTTTGTAAATGTAAAAGTTTGTGTGGTCTGGTATCATGTCGTATTGTGTGGTGTGGTGTGGTGCAGTGTGATGTGTTGTGGTGTGGTGGGGTATTGTGCCATATAGTGTGCTGTGGTGTGGTGCAGTGTGATGTGCCATGTGGTGTGGTGTGGTGTGATGTCGTGCCATGCTGTGCCACCAAATTCTAATCAGTTCATTGTTGACTCCAAGTGAATGTTTGTGCCAAATTTAAAGAAAGTCCCTCAAGGCGTTCTTGAGTTAGGGGTACATTCATGAGAATGAAACGTCAGATGGGGGGAAAGACACAATGATGTGTTGCTTTAATTTATAATTATTTAAATGAGTTCTGTATGAAACACCTAGAGCTCACCTGGATGGCGATGGGGACCAGCTGTCTCTGCTGGTTCAGGTGGAGAAGGCACAGCGGAGCGGACAGGTACGTCTGCTTCTCGTTTATCACGTTGGCTGGGACGCTGTCCAAAACCTCGTAGTCCAGCAGGTAAATGTTCCCTCGCTGTTACATAATGAAACATTACAACACAGAGAGGCTGCGTTAAAGGGAACAGCTGGCATCAACAGCTGGAAGGCAGACGGGCATACCCACCTCTAGCTCCTGCTCGAGGGAGGAACCTCCAGACAGGAAGGGGCGGAGCATGTCAGAGGTGACTGATAGGTTCGGAGGAAGGAGGCGGGTCTGACGTACCAGCAGGGGGTTGCAGCCGTTCAGACACTGGTAGCCAAAATACCAGTCCTCTGTCCAGTGAGCCTTAATAAACCCTGAGAGAGGAAATAACTTTTCAAATTAACAGACAAATAAAGTGACCCTAATCCTGCTGCCGACACTGGACCGTAATCAAAAATGATCTGGCCTGGCATCTGCCCAAACTCAGCAGACGACATAAGCAGGGCCTCGTCCGGTTGCCTGGCTAGGCTAAGACTCCAGACAAATGACATTCCAGAATCGGGCCAAATATTCTGGACACCACCATCACTGTGGTCTCTCTTCTTTTCCCTCCCATCTCTTTTGTGACGAGTCTCTATAAGGCTTCAGGATATGCTTAAATTTCCCTCTGACACCGGTCACCTTGTGACGCCTCGGGTGACTCTGTGTCTCCTCCTTTCTTTAAACATCTTTGTTGTATGCAATCATGTTGCATCCAAGATTCGCCTTGCGTTCTGTCTGAACACACAGCCAAAAACACTAACTAGCAACACACCTCAAAGTCCCTATCGTTTTTCCAGCCCACTTTAGATAAAACCACACCCAATTTGTCGTAGCATAGATGAGACTTAAAATAAAAGAAGCTCAGACCCAGAGTTGCAGAGAGGAAGCTGCAGACATTTTATAGCGTCTGACAAACAAGCCTCTCTGTACACACACATTCAAATGGGCTTCCCATCACTTAAACTGTTGCTTCATGTTATTCAGATAACCAGATCTGCAAGTTTGCTTTTCCCCTGTTAGCACGTACACAGATTTGGTCAGAGAGAGGTCAGGTCATCTGCACTACAGCGTCCACATGGAGCCAGGTCTCACTCCGAAGTCATTGAAATCCTGCACTCCTGCAGTGACTTGTGGCATGAGAAACCAACGAAAAAAGGCGTACTTTAATGTCGGCATGATACACAGCCAGTTGCCATTAGAGTTTAATGACACTCTGCAGCTTCAGAGGGAAACCCGGCGGGACAAGGACGAAAGTTAAGGCAGCAAAGGTCCAAGTGGGGCGGGTAGGAGGGGTGGTGTATGGGTCCAACAAACACTGACTTTCACCTGAGAGAGTGGTGTTTGTGTCCCGTAAGATTCTAAAGGCAAATCCTGTTCTTTTTTCCGAAACATAACCGTGTGCATTTGTTGAAGGAAGGAAGGAAGGTTATTGTACTGATGTAGAGCATTTATTTTGAAAGAGACTGTATATAAATGTTAAATTTCCTGTGAAAACAGAAGTGTATTTTGAAGGAAAACAATGCCTGTAACAGGCAGAACCTGACACAATCCCAGAACATCAACAACAAATGCCTTGCAAGTCGTATGTGGACATGAAAAGTCCATTTAAAACCATCAGTATGTGACGAGATCAGAGTGAGAATGTGTTGCCACATGATGGAAGTGGGCTGCCTGGCATTAAGGCCCAATTAATAGCTGCCAGCCCACTGCTAGCCAGAGCTGATGAATGAGACTGCTGCTAACTAGCCTTTCCTCGCCACTTAGAGACTACGGTGGGTAGCCGAGGGGCCGGTCCAGACGCTGAAGGTGTGTGAAATATGACCGCTACAGCAGCTTGTAAAAACGCAATATGGGTATTTAAAGGGAAACGACCAGCTCTGTGTCATCACAATGTGTGCAGTTTGTGCAGATGTTCAGTTTTTGGCTTTTGCTGCCAAATTATCGGGGAGCTCTGGACACTGGCGGCACAAGGGGGAGTCAAACACTGCATCATCAACCCACACTGCAAAGACTGCAAAGTTTTCATTTAGCGGCTGTAGCAACTTCAGTTCATCCAGCACAGACATACACATGTAAACAAGACATATTAGCCGCCTTTACACTTCCTGTTCAAGGCACAAACGTTGCACCTTTATTCCACTTCACAGTTCTGTATGAAAGGTACAATTGTGGAACGTGGGGATGGAGTTGTCTTGCCTTAAAACTGGCAGCAGAAGTAGTGTGTCATGTCATGTGTGCAGATTTTAAAAAGCAGTTACCAGTAGTTAGCAGCTAACTCAAAGAAAATGTATGCAAATCAGGAAAACAGTGAGGTCCAGGAGCTCCTTACCCTCCGAGCAGAGCATGAGATCAGTTGCCATATAACAGGGATGGTAACTGATTGTTATTGACATGTTAATGCCATTGTTATTGTTTATAAAGAGCTGCCGGCACAAATGTTATATGTCACATTAGAGGCTGATGCACATCACACCAACCATGCCTCTTTTTCCTCAGGAACGCTGTCATACTGTTGCCGTTGTTTGGCTCTGTATAAAAAAGCAAAGCCGGCATAATTAATGAACTTCATTGGTGCCTTACTGCAGGATCTCTGTGTAAACTGTAGATACAAAAAGGAGGTAGAAGGGCATCGAACCCGGACTCAAAGGAGAGGAATTATGGGGGATGGAGTTCTTCGTTGAGTATGTTTACTTGACATTAGAGAAAACTGATCGATTGTTTTGGTCCAACTAAAATCGGATTAAGTCAAATTCAATATAAAAGTCAGACTAAGACGATAATGCGACTAGGAGTTGAATTCCTCCTGCATGTATACAGTCAATCAGACCCAAACTGGCCGAGGCGCTCTGAGCATGCTCCACAGTTTCCGCCCCGGGCTTTGACCCGGAAGTCCAATAGCATTAAATGTGTAAGAGAAGAAGAAGCCGGTAACAACATGGAGAAATCTACATCCAGAGCCGTGACTTTTTGGACGGACCAAATGTACAGAGCTGTAAAGTTGTCCACCATGATAGCAGTTAGCAGCTAGCTAACCGTAGCTAACTTGTTTGCCCATTGTTTGGTCTGTGACGTAATAGGTCAACAGGAAAAAGGTCCAATACTAACAAGCTGAAAGGGGGCATATCTCCACCTATCGTAGAGGAGTCGCACATACTTGGCTCAATAAATGGATTCCCCTCCCGTGCTTGTATACTGGGACAAGGACAGTAGGCCAGTTAGATGTCCTCGTCCAGCTGGGACTGTAGCTCCACTTCACTGAGCATGTAAGCATAATGACTGTGGAGCATGCTCAGAGCGCCTCGGCCAGTTTGGGTCTGATTGACGGTATACATGCAGGAGTCACATGATCTGGGTGTGTTAGTCGCACTTTGGGAAATTTACTTCAGTACGCTTTCAGTCACACTAACATGTTTACATGTATTTTAAAAGTCTGCTTTTAGTTGGACTGACACAATAAATCCATTTTCTCTGATGTCATGGAAACATACTGATGGTTCATCTGACTCTGATTCAGTCGTTCTGGGTAAAAGAAGAGATTTACTTTGAATGTGTGTTGTCTTGTTACATACTGGCGGTGATGTTCTGGTGTCCGCTGTGGGCGAAAACCGTCTCCAACTCTGTGAAACTCGTCCAGGCCTGCACTCGGCTGACAAAGCCCTTCAGATAGTGCAGGTTAATGGCTGGGCTGAGGAGGAAGAAACAAACAAGAGCTCAGACTCTTCTCCTGAATCTGACCAGACTTCAGTCAGAAGGTTCATTAATCATGTGACTTCACCTCTTGTGTGTGTAGCTGAGGTTTGGCCCAAGTTCAGACAAACTCTTCAGGTCGACACACTGTGGAGCGCCATTAACGAACTCACGCCATCTGTCACAGAAAAAGGTTTAGACCTCCCTGAACCAGTTGCTTCATCTGTTTGAACTTATGTTAAAAACTAACAGAGATCCTGAAGATACTAAATGTCTGTTTTACCCGAAGAGCTTCTGTTGGTGCTGCAGCAGTCTGAGCCGCTGCTGCTTCAGCTTCTCCTCCGTCTCGTCCTTCAGCAAACACACTGCACAGGGATAACAGTCAGAATAATCATCATAGTATTAATAATAAAAATAATGTCCCCCCCAAGTCACTGAAAATATAAAATGCTTAGAATGAGCTGTAAACATTGAATACAATCACTATTATCTCTGTTCTCTCATGAAGATGTATTTTAATGGACTTTAATGTCTAAATAGATTTATCCTATCAGAAGACACTTAATCACTTGTACGAAGACTCAGAAACATTTCAGAACAAATCCTAATTTTCAGGTAACATTTATAAAAAGAACAAGTTGAATTTAGTGTTCACATGAGGCGGTCGTTCCTTTTATGGCCTCGGACATGAAAGTAAAAATCGTGGAATAAAAAATCCTTTCTCTAACTTTTAATATGAACGTACATTTCCCACTCCGCAGCTCCACGTCGCCGTCTGCTGGTCGCAGCCATTGGTCGCACAGGAACACCTGAACGTCTGGATCTCTCTCAGACCCCGCTGCAACCCGCCCTCCCTCCTCGGTCCCTCTGTCTGCCAACCTGTGGACCTCCACTCGGCTGCAGTGCCAGTCCAGGTTGGGAAATCCGGTCCGAGCCTCCAGCCGGAGCCGGACCAGAACCAGGCGACCCAGTGGACTGTTGGCCTGAACTCGAGCCGGACACATCTGTCAGGACACATAGAAGAGATCGTCCTTTGTAAATATTCTGTAGCACTCGCTGAGTAAAGATCATAAGTTCCTTCCAGGACTGAAGAAAAGTGATTATTGCTGTGTTCTTTATTTTGATTGGGCCGCAGCAGGGCGGGTCACCTTCACAGGCTGCTGACCACCTGCTCCTATGTCCCAAACAGAGTCTGTGGCTTAAGTGTGGAGTATTTAATCATTTAGCAGCAACTGAATCGCCAGTAGAAATGTTGGCATTGTACATTTCTGCAAACATTACATTTACGTTACACTTGCGTTACGTTATTGCGTAGCAGACAAAAGCCACTTGGTGATAGGAAAAGATCACATACCGGTATATATGCTTAACATACTGGCTTCTTGTGGCACTATTCCCAGCAGGAAACTCAGAAATTGTGAGATACAAAACAACCACGTTTTGTGACATTTTTCTGGCAGGAAATGTGGTGACGTCCCAGTGAAAAACAATCATTTTTGTGGTACACTCCAGCTGGAAATGCAGCAACTTCAAGGTAAAAAACAACCACTTTTATGGTAATTTTCTGGCAGGAAACATGGCGATGACTCTGTAAGAATAAAGAGCCTACTCATTGTGGTACTGTCCCGGCTAGAAACACAGTGATGCTACCATGAAAAACTATTTCTGTGGTACAATTCCAGCTGGAAACAGCAATTTCAAGGTCAAAAACATTCACTTGTTGTGGCACTTTTCTGGGAAACGCAACAATGTCTCGGTAAAAATAACAAACAAAAAAATGCTTTATGAGGCCCTATCTCTGGAAACAATCCCAGCATGAAATGCAGCAATTTCGAGGTCTCAGACGATGTCTCAAAAAAAAACCTGCTTTTCATGGCAGTATCACAGCTGGAAACACGGTGATGTTGCCATGAAAAACAATCACTTTTTTGTGGAAACAAACCCAGCTAGCAATGAAGCAATTTCACAATAAAAAACAACCACTTTTGTGTCAATATCTCAGGAAGAAACGCAGCAATATCTTGTAAAAAAAACAACCACATTTTGTGGCGCTGTTCTGTCAGGAAATGTCTCAGTAAAAAAAACAACTGCTTTTTGCAGTACAGTTGTTGTTTGGTGGGCTGCAGTTCGGCCGGCGTCTACAACATGATTATGAATATTATATTTTATTTCTGGCAACAGATCCATTTGAACTTGCTGCTCTTTTAAAACAGAGGAAATATGTTGAAACTCACTGATCCCGGCAGCAGATGATCATTGATGCTGATGGGCGGAGTCTCCCCCTCAGAGCCAATCAGGCTGAGCCACAGGCAGTTGAAAGTTCCACAGGTGGGTCCAGGTGAGGTGTAGACCGTCACCTCAAACTCCTGACAGGAAGCCATCATGTCGCAGGCTGACTGCAGGTAGAAGAACGCTCTTTATTCTGTGTTGTAAAGTTGAACAAGTGATGATGAATCTTCCTCCTGCCAACTCTGACAACAGCTCATTTGTTTACGCCTCAGATTTGACTTGGAAATGAGCGACACCGAGGGTGAGTGGTAGTGTGGGCGTCGAGTCACATGACCCTCACTGACAGAGGAAAGCTACACTCTTTCATCTTAAAGGTCACTTCCTCCTTTTACTGTTTTCCTGATGAGGAAACTTCCTGTTCTCAGTTAAACAAGATATTGTGTTTATATTTACATCATGTTACAACACTACACCTCATACTGCATCAAATATAATGTACCATATTATACTATCATGTGAACATGTCACTGCACTGTACTCTGTCATATACCAACAGTATATACAAATCAGTCTGGTTCCTCACACACCTGTTGCTGCCTTTAAACATTACTGTCACGCTCTCATGTGTATAAATAATATAATCTAAATAATATTCTGTATAGATTCTATTTTATTATTATTTTAGTTTATTCACCTCATATTATTATTTCTTCGTGTTACTTTCGACATGTAATCTGTATTTAATTGTGTTTTTCTGCTGCAACAACAGAATTTCACCTCTGTGGATCAGCAAAGGTTTATCTTGTTTTATCCTACATCATCTGATCTTCTCGTCTCGTCTTATCTTGTTACCTTATCAAGTCTGGCCTTGTCTTGTCTCATCTCATCTTCTCTTGTCTTACATTGTTTCATCTCATCTTATTTCACCTTATCTCATCTTATGTCATCATGTCTTGTCTTATCTTGTTGTCACATCTCTTCTTATCTTATCTCATCTTATCTTGTCTGGTCTGGTCTCAGCTAATCTTATCTCTTCTCGTCTCACCTCGTCTCATCTCGTCTCATATTATCTTGTTTTGTCTAATCGTATCTCGTCTTGTTTTGTCTCGTCTTATCTCATCTTATGTTATCTCGTCTAGTCTTATCTTGTTATCTTTTCTCGTCTTATCTCATCTTCGCTTCTCCTCTCCTGTCTTATGTTATCTTGTTTCGTCTCATCTTATGTCATGTTATCTTGTCTCGTCTAATCTTGTCTCGTCTCATCTAGTCTTGTCCTATCTTATATTATCTTGTTTCATCTAATCTTATCTCATATTATCTTGTTTCATCTAATCTTATCTCATATTATCTTGTTTCATCTAATCTTATCTCATATCATCTTGTTTCATCTAATCATGTCTCGTCTCATCTCGTCTCATCTCGTCCTATCTTATATTATTTTGTTTTGTCTGATCTTATCTCATATTATCTTGTTTTGTCTAATCTTATCTCATATTATCTTGTTTCGTCTAATCTTGTCTCATATTATCTTGTTTAGTCTAATCTTGTCTCATATTATCTTGTCCTATCTTATATTATTTTGTTTTGTCTAATCTTATCTCATATTATCTTGTTTAGTCTAACCTTGTCTCATATTATCTTGTCCTATCTTATATTATTTTGTTTTGTCTGATCTTATCTCGTATTATCTTGTTCCATCTAATCTTGTCTCATATTATCTTGTTTCATCTAATCTTGTCTCATATTATCTTGTTATGTCTAATCTTGCCTCGTCTCATCTCGTCTTGTCCTATCTCATATTATCTTGTTTCGTCTAATCTTATCTCATCTCTTCTCTCGTCTTGTCTTATTTCATCTTACCCTATGTTTTCTAGGAAATTATTTGGTTATTACAGACCCATTAATTTAAATCAGATATGTATTGATGGGATAAATATAAGCATCTGTTTTAACACAGAATAACTTCAACATAACAACGAAACCAAAGAATCTACAATGTTTTTAGACTGTTTTACTTTATTTAAGATGAATAAATGAATCACATTGTTGAGAAATGATAAAATAGAAGCTTTTGTTAACCTTCTGCATGACTGTTTTATTTTAATACTGTTAAAGACACCTGATTTAACCATACAAGACAATTTCTTTGTTTCTTGCTATTAAAAATTATACGAGCCTCGTGACAGAGTGGATCTGTCGTTGGTGTCTCCAAGATTTTGGTGGTTTGTATGACCTCAGCAGGAATTTACATTCAACAACTAAGCACAGAAATACACACTGTGGATTTTTAAAGGCCAATTCTGGTGTTATTATCGTCATTATTCTACACAGGACGATTTCTTAGGTCCTAAAATCAATTAAAATAAAAGGATTTCTTCACCAAACTGACAGAAAATATACTTAACAGTTAGATTAATATTGATGCAAGTTAATGGTGATTTGTTTTTTTTGTCAAATTGATTGAAATGAATAAAGATCAATTTGAAAAAGTAAAAGTCTGTTTCTAAAGTCTTGTTTACAGCTTTTAGTACACATAAACTGACAGACAGACGGACAGGTGGGCCTACCTGCAGATTGACGCCTCTTCTCCTCTCCTGTCTGGAAATGTTGAATATCTTTCACTGCACGTCTCTTTATTTAATGCTCCGCCCACCACAACACCTCCACTTCCTGCTGGTTGTGGAATTTATTGGATATGTGTTGTTTGCAGTGGTGAAAGAAGTGCTCAGAGACCACTGAGTAAAAGTAGTAAATACCAAAATGTAGAAATACCTTAACTTTATGCATCCAAAAATTTACTGAAGTATAATCTCCACAACACTTTATATAAAAATAAATATAAAATACAGCACGATGAGGTACGCTATATATACGTCTGTTCTGAGCAAAAATTGCAACGGTTCCATAGTGTAGCGGTTATCACGTCTGCTTTACACGCAGAAGGTCCTGGGTTCGAGCCCCAGTGGAACCACTCATCCTTTTCATCTGTAACACAAAAAGAAAATTTCAAAATCAGTAACAGTAATGCGCGTTTACAAAGTCCAATTAAATCAGAACACCGACAGGGAGTATGGAGGCTAAAACCAACACAGCAACGGTAAAATCTGATTTCTGGTTCAGACGTCTAATCTTCAAAAAAACCAACCAAGATCTTTACACTGTGTTTTGTGTGTCGGCTGTCAGACACACAACAACTTTCTGAACTACATAACGATAGAATCAACAACACGCAAGACTTTCACGTTGTTAAACGGCTAATAGTCTTTTAGAGAGTCACCTGGACACGTGACCTGTGATGCACCGGAACAGGAACAATAAAAAGTGGAGATGCCGGGGATTGAACCCGGGGCCTCATACATGCGAAGCATGCGCTCTACCACTGAGCTACATCCCCACACGGCGGAAAAATTGGTCCGGAAATCAGTATTTAACCGTGAAATGGCGGGTGGTTGTGTTACACATTCAAAACTGGACACTTTCCCCGCCAGAGAATTATTTTTAAATTACCAACATTTGATCATATTCACTGATCTTTAAAGACCCACTGAATTATTTGTTCTAAGAATATGTAAACCGTATAAACAAGTAACTAAAGAACAGACCTTATGTTTATTTTAACAAACAAAAAAACAAATGTATTCTGGTATTCCATTTCTTTTTTATCAACACTTGAATTTGTGCATTTTTGTAAATAAAAATATTTTTTAACATAGATATTTTCATTTCAGACAAAAAGCTGAGAAAAATGCATTTTTGTCAGACACTCTTTCTCAATTTCAAATTTAGTTTTTTTTCTCATTTCCTTACATCAGTTTGAATTATATAAATGAAAATAATAAATTATTATTATATCCTCTTAGAGGTAAAGTGGAACACATCAAGTTCAGTATTCTGTTGTCTCCATCTCCTCTGTGGTCGTCTTGTCCGTGTGTCACTGTCATGTCGTTTCGTCCCACCAAACTCATTTGCTTTTTCATTCAAATCGGAATTTTGATCAAAACAGGAAGTGTTGGAGTCTGAGTCCATCAACATGTCCATAGCTTGCGCAACCGTAAACTTTTCCATCATTGCCAGTGTAGCGTGAGCAAAGGGAGAAGGAGGACTGTCGACAATCTCACCGAGGGGCATTTCACCTCCAGGAAATTATGAAGTTGGGTTTAACCACTTAAGCATACGACACACGAGTTCGTCGACACAGGAGACGTGTTCCAAAAAAATGTATCTTTATTTAATGAAATAACGAGTTAAAATAGTTGCATCATTATAAACGTTCCAGGAGGTGCTGGAAAGCGTTGCTGGGGAGAGGGACATCTGGCGTACTTTGCTTGGCCTGCTGCCCCTGCGACCCAGCCCAGAATAAGCGGATGAAAATGGATAAATGGATGGATGAATGGATGGATGAATGGAACAAGTTACCATGTTATCTTATTGTCTCATCACATGATTAAATGGAGACTTGACATTGTGTAACACCAACATACATACATACTACCCAGAAACATGACAAAAATATAAAAAAAAATGACAAAAATACCAAAGAAATGAGGAATTAACAGTTTTTATTTATTGTTTATGTAGATTAAACATAATATATTTTATTAAATATTTTGTTATAGACTGCTGCTGACTGTTTTACTGTTTTACTAAAACAAAAGCCATATATGTGAGGCATAAATAGAAGGTGGCAATCTGAATTACCTACAAGGCCTCGTTTTCTGCCCTATATATTGTAAGAGGGGCCCTTCTCTCTATGGGCCGCCTCACCTTATGGGCCCAGTGCAACTGCCCAACCTGCACAGTCTATATTTACACCTGTGGTCTGGTTTACTTGGGCCCTCTGTGAGTGTTGGTGTCCTCAGGAGAGGACTTTTTGTCTTCCAACTGCAACAGAGAGACCGAGGAACCGAAGAATCCAAACCCGAATCTAAACCCAGGGTAGAGGGGTTTAGGGGTGACTGTGCAGTAGAAGGTGTGGAGGTGGATCAGTGTGTCAGAGGACACTCTGTAGAAGGACAGAGTGCCGGCAGGACAGTCCACATACACTCCTACTCTGTGAGAGACGGAGGACAGGTCGGTGCATACTGCTGTTCGTCTGTCATCGTGCCAGACAAAGTAGTTCTCATCAGAGCAGTACACACTCCAGGACTTACTGTTTGCTCCGAGCTTGCAGTCGACACCCTGTCCTCTCCTTCTGATTCCACTGTACGTCACTCCCACATACACCGCTCCTCTCCTCTCCACCTCCCAGTAACAACGACCAGTCAGACCGTTTTTACACAGCAGCTGAAACCAGCAGTTGAATCTCTCTGGACGATCTGCACACTTGTGCTCGTGGGCTACAACTGTCACTTTTCTGAGGTCTTTGGACAGTTGAAGCTTTCTGTGTGCTGTGTTCGGGTCCAGCGTCAAATCACAGGCGTCTAAGGATGACGACAGGATTCATTTTTAATATGTTAAAAAACAAACCTTTAGTCTTCTATTCTGCAATGTCTGATTTATTGCCAAAAACATACTCACACTTCCTCAGACCTGGTTTCAACCTCTGGACTCCACCATGGTCAAGCCTGTGAGGGGACAGAAGAACAGTCACGTTATTATCTAACTCTCATCCAAAGACTTTTTGTGCATTAAAGTCATATGTCCCCACTGCTTGAGTAATTACTGACAAACAAACTGACAGCTTGTCAGTCCCACCTGAGAGTGTCCAGTCTCCAGCGTGGATCCTCCAATCCGGCAGACAGCAGCTTCACTCCTGAGTCTCCTGGATGGTTGTAGCTCAGGTCCAGCTCTCTCAGATGGGAGGGGTTGGAGCTCAGAGCTGAGGCCAGAGAAACACAGCCTTCCTCTGTGATCAGACAGCCTGACAGACTGCAAACAACCTTAGTGTAAGAACTAAAAGCTTGGTCATGGCGCAGAGAAATTTATCTTCATGAAACATGTGGTTCGAGAAGCTTGTTGACACAGTGACCACTCACAGAGCTAATAGGTGAAATACACACAGCTAGCAAGATGCGATAGCTTCCTTCATGTTGGACTCTGCTCCCTCAAAGAGCAGCACTGTCAACATGGTCAGCTATGGCATGATAGCACAAATTCACACATCTCATGTTTGTCAGTGACCTTTTATCCATGACTAAGACGAAACATTGACAAGCTAAAAAATAGATCTTTGAGAACAATGATGAAATGTAGGTTTTGTTTTCGTTAAGAAGATGGGAGTAAGTTGTTAGTGTGTGGGCTGTGACTGGTGATATATCGAAGTGCTGACCTGAGAGTCTCCAGGGTACAGTTTGGACTCTCCAGTCCAGATGACAGTAGCGCCACTCCTGAATCCTGCAGGTCGTTATTACTCAGGTCTAACTCTGTTAGAGTAGAGGAGTTGGAGCTGAGAGCGGCTGAAAACTCAGGACAGCTTTGATCCGTAAGACTGGTTTGATTCAACCTGATAGAAAAAGGAATAGAGATATTTTTGGTGTTCAGCTTTTCACTGTCAGCAGACAGGAAGTGGTTTAGTGTCAGAACCATGTATGTTTGTCAGGGAACATTGTTATTGATGGGGGCATCTAAAGTGAGGAGGTGAAGGTGAGATAGAGCAATGTCTTAATTCACGTTCGCAATAACTGGGACCCCTGGAGGGGCGTGTATCCTTTAAGAACACCAGTGGGGTTGATGCAACCTGTGATTATGACAATCCAAATAAATGAATGAATCTAACCTGAGAGTCTCCAGCCGACAGTGTGGACTCTCCAGTCCAACAAGGAGCAGCTTCACTCCTGAATCCTGCAGATAGTTTCCATTCAGGTCCAGCTCTCTGAGACTAGAGGACTGGGAGCCAAGAACTGAGGCCAGAGCTTCACAGCTTCTCTCTGACAGATTGCAGATACTGAGCCTGGGTAAATAAAGGGAAAACAACATATTTCTGAAGTTTAATAACATTTAATTGAGATTGAAGGACAGAGTGGACCTGAAGATCGAGGCTTAGACAGTCCAAAATGACACTCAGTAATCCAAACTTGGAAACAACAATTACTTGAATTGGATCTGACACTGAGTTACAACTAAACCAGCACAGACTTTTTTAAAATCAAAACACCGCAGATGGGTTGAAACAAACTTGAAGATCTTACCTCAGAGTTTTCAGTTTGCAGTGCAGACTTTCCAGCCCAGCACAGAGTTGCATCAATCCTGAATCCTGCAAGTTGTTGTTACTCAGGTCCAGCTCTGTCAGAGTGGAGGACTCTGAACTGAGAACTGCAGTGAGCACCTGACAGCAGTCTTCTGTGAGGCTTGATTGATATAACCTGATAAAAAAAGGTGGAAATATTTTCTATTCGAGGGAGAGCGAGCCTATTAGCCAGCCTGGGGCGGCCTTGCCTAATAGTTTTCATCTGTTTTGCATTGCTGAATGTCTCGTGTTTTTGCTCTATGTGCCGCACATTTTGCAGGAATACCCTGAATGCCTTGAGTTAAATGAACTTCAACTCAGAGTGGAAAAGTGCCCAACGTCATTGTCCAATGAGATGTGGACCTTCTTTGGTGGCATTGTCAAGTGCAGCATACATAGTTTGGGTTAAGCTAAAATTTCAACGTTACCCTAGGCAAGTTT